CACAACCCAAGTACCAGGCAATATTGAGGTTCTGTAGATAAATCATTGTCAGACTTTTTAGGGCTACAAACAGATAATGATTACTACAGATGTTCGTATTGCAACCAACTGAAAACTTAGGTGTTCTCCAAGGCACAGAGGGTTCACAGTGTGTTAAGAATGGTTACTCATCCGTAGAACTGACCTGGCTAGTATTGCTTAACTTTCTAATGTGCTAACCTACTACAGCCACCACTTAGCCACAAGCCCCTTATATTTGTTTTATGTAATTTCTGAAACTTGTGGGTAGTTAGTATAGATATTTTTGTCTAGTGGATGTAAACAGACATTGTTAACAATTTGATGGACAAGGAACTGATTCTGAAGTTATATAAAATAAATTGGGTTAAATAAAAAAATTATATTGCAACAGTAGAATGTGATATTAGGTTTTGTAGAGGTGCTTCATTAAAATGCTTGATATACATTTGACTAAGCAGTTTTAGAACTTTGTGAAGAATTTTACACATACAGGATAAAAAGAAAATTTTAAAAAGTAAGAGTTCATAGTAACAGAAGTGAAAAGGCTGTCACACCCTGTGACGGCCTTTTAACTCCTTATAAATGCCTGTATTTTTAAAATACAGAGCAAAGAGTTTTTATTTTATTTTTCTGTTAACTATTACAACTTGACCTATGACCTGATTCCGGCTCACATTGACTTTTAGGACACCCTGAAAAAAGAATTTCAATGCAAGATGGTCTAGATGGTTCACTCATCAACTGTTCTAAATCCACTAAGAATTAACCGACTCCTCTGCCATTACCACATTGCACACTGCTAATCAAATAAAATCCAATGCCAAAAAAGGAGATATTCTATTACAGCTCTACAGGAATGTCCTAGTCTGATATTTTTTGTATATTCTACTGACTGTAGAGTGCCTTGTATTTGAAGGTATTTATTAAAACAATACTTACATCACAACTAATGCCTACTCAAGCATGTTACTTACAACAGCTGACTTAACACATTGTTGTACATTGCACATACACTTAAGATTTCACTTTAATAGTTCACTGCTTAACATAGGCCTCTTCTTGGGAGCTGGTGGACACTGCCTCCGCCCTAGGGCGACTTTTGCCCAATTTGGGCGGAGCCAGTGTTCCCACGAGGCGGCTGTACGCGGGGGTTGTCCGGTCCATGGCGCTGTATGGTCCAGTATGGTGCACCGGTGTGGGTGGCGGCTCTGACCGTCCCGAATAGGGCGCGCCTCTGGCGCCCCCAGAGGATATTGGCGGTCGGAGCCATACGCGGATACCGCACGGTGTCCACCGAGGCGGCCTGTGCCTTGGCCGGAACACCCCCGTGGGATTTGGAGGCGGAAGTGCTCGCCGAAGTTTATCGGCGAGTGGCTGACTTCCGGGCGGAGAGCGGATTTCGCCCTTGAGTCCCGCCTGCCACCACTGCGACTGCAGTGAGGACTCGGCCCAGCACACGCTGGCGGTCTGCCCCGCATGGGCGACGCAGCGCCGGGCCCTCACTGTAGGCATCGGAGCAGATCTCTCGCTACTGGCCGTAATTCGCTCCATGGCCGGTAGCGACAGTTGTTATACCGCGGTCGCAACCTTCTGCGAGGAAGTAATCTCGCAGAAGGAGGCGGCGGAGAAGGCCCGGGAGGACGACCTCCACTCGGACCCGATCCGCCTCCGGCGAACCGGGCGGCGGAGGCGCGCTTACCTGCGCCTCATGCCGCCCTGAGTGTGGCCGCGGGTGGACGGGATGGGTTCTCCCCTCCACCCGCATTAGTTTGGCCAGCCACGAGGGGGCGGCGTCCGCGTGTGCCGGACGTCGCCTAAAAAGAGAGGTCCTGGAGACGGAGCCCGCACCAGGAGCGGGCCGGCGCTGGGAGGGGTCCAGAAGGCGATAACTACCTGGACCCCTTCTAAACTGGAAGCGCAAAGAGGGCACACCGTGTGGTTTTAGGTTATCTTATATCATTATGGGCGACTTTAATACCGACCTCCTCGCTTCTAATTCCCCTCGTTCCAGTAAACTTACCCAGGTTGTGGAATCAGCCAGTTTGTCCATACTACCCCTGTCAGCCACTCATCACAACATTGATGGACCTTATCCTTACCTCCTCTCCCTCTCTCTTGTCCGTATTCATGGTCAACTTCATCTTCCTGTCCTATTCCTTAAAACCACCTAAGCCTTGCCCTAAGGTACTGCACATTCGCTGTATCGGATGAATGAAGATAAACTTCGTTTTGATGTCTCGAAAAATTGGAAACCCGTACTACTAGAAGCCACGACAGTAGACGATAAAGTTCATTTGTATAACACGATGTTAACAAACCTCCACGACCAACACGCTCCTGTCACGAAAATTAAAATAAAGCATCCTCCGGCCCCTTGGTTAATTGTAGGTATTCGAGAGGCAATGCATCGCAGAGACATCAATCATCATTATCGAGATCAACCTCGTTCCAATATTGAAGCTTTTGAGTTTTCTCCGGTTGAACCAGGTGTGTCATCTCCGTCAAATCCAATGAATAAATAATTGAATAAGTAGCGTCATTCGTCACTCCCCTTCCCAAGATCCCGTATCCTACACTCAATAATCACCTTCGCCTTATCTCCATTCTCCCCTTCCTATCTAAAGTCCTCGAGGCCTGTGTGAACCAACAACTATCCCAACATATTTATCAAAACAACCTACTAAGCTCTTTCCAATCGGGGTTCAGGCTTGGGCATAGCACAACTTCTGCTACGCTAAAAGTGACTGCTGACATCCGAGCAGAAATTGAGAAATCCAAAGTAACAGTGTTGGCTTTGGCTGACTTCTCAAATGCATTCAACTTCGTTAGTCACGATATCCTTCTGTCTATCCTGTTCTATCTCATGATTACGCCTGATACACTGGACTGGTTCTCGTCTTATCTTCGGGGGCGCCAACAGTCTGTCCGCGTCGATGAATCCTCTTCAGGTTGGCGTGGACCCGACCGTGGCGTCCCACAAGGTGGCATACTCTCTCCTCTATTATTTTCAATATTTATCAATCTCATCTCTCCAAACCTTCTATGTGCGTACCATCTTTACGCCTATGATTTGAATAGGAGGGAATTGAGTGCCGTCTGTCACCACTGCGATTGCAGTGAGGACTCGGCTCAGCACACGCTGGCAATTTGCCCGGCTTGCGTCGCAGCGTCGGGTCCTTGTTGAAGTCATCGGAGGGGATCTCTCGCTATCGGCCGTCTTACGCTCCATGGCTGGTAGCGACAGATGTTTTACTGCGGTCGTATCCTTCTGCGAAGATGTCATGTCGCAGAAGGAGGCGCCTCGGGAGGATGACCTCCACTCGGACCCAATTCGCCACCGGCGGACCGGGCGGTGGAGGCGCGCTTACCAGCGCCTCTTGCCGACCTGAGTGTAGCTGCGGGTGGACGTGACGAGTTCAGTGGGATCACTCAGTTGAAACTTTCATGCCCAAGTTTTTATCTTATTGATGTGATGCAAATGAGTGTCAATATTGTAGGTAGAATAACGTTAAACCATGCCGCTAAGTCCTGGGTAGTTTGCTCGGATAAGCTTTCACCATCTCCTTTCATTTAGCGTTATTCCTCCTTTATATCGTGCCAGGTGCAAATTAAAGGAGGAATATGGTATAATCTTCCACGTGGTTCGTTCAAAGTCTCAATTACAAAAGCGTATAAACCAAAAACGCACGGTGCGGTCATTAGCAGTCGCCTTTCCAAACGCAGCTTTGATGTAGGGAACCGTTTCTGCCGCGTTAGTTCCGCGTCGGAACTCGTATTAAAAAATACTCTGTTTTTCGAAGTATCCATCTAACACGTCTAAGCTGAATAAAAAAACAATTGAAAGTCGAAAATAGAATTTTTTAGATATCATATTTTAGAGAAGAACCTCATAGGTATCATGTGAAAAAAGTGTAACACGAAAATCACAGGTTTTATGTCGATTGGTATATATTACTATACAAAATAAATAAATATTTTGAATGCTTCTGCTACTCGTAAATTTGACATCTCTATAGCTTATTAATAGTTTTTGCTGATATCGAAATTACCAGAATACAAATGACGTTCATGCCATACCTATATTATTTTTTTCATTATGATGAATGTGTAATCTATAAAAATAGTACTAATCTATTCTGTTAGTTTTTGGTCACAAACTGAACAGTTAATATAACTGGCGTTTAGCATTCTATATTCATGCTTTATGTATGTACTTTCTGATGAAGAGACTTCAATCAGTTAATTAATTAACTTACAGCAGTACACTGCAAAACACACACACTGCATAGTACACGGCACTCCGCCTTCCTTATCTAGTATGTCCCAGCTACCTTCTTCAGGTCATCAGTCCATCTGGCTGGGGGAAGTACCTTCTATCTTTTGATCCGATCCGATCACACTTATAAAGGACACTTATATAAGGTCTTAGGTTAAGATTTCTGGCTAGACCAATGAGAAAAATCTGTTTGTTAAATGCCACCGATGAGTTCGTTTCTTACAAATGTTTTCTCCAAAGGCTTAGATTCGAAATTATCTGTAAAAGGAATTAAAGTACAGTTCGGAGTGTAGTTGTTAACTGGTACAGTATTGTTTTGCTGTGTATTTTGCGCAAGGCCTTAACTCTATGTAGACTTAGTTTGTTTTTGTTTTGTTTTTGTAAAACAATGTTTAGAAATAGAAGAAGTATATTTTTTTACCTGTCATGATACAAAAGTCTTCACAATGGTAGTTCAAGTTATACTGGTAAATTAAATAAACCAAGACGAAATTTTACTTCCACGCGATGTCTAATAGAAATAATGTTATCACCACAAGCCTGTAGTAAGTAAGTAAGTTTTATTGTTTCAGATTATTTTGTTATAAGAAACCCAGCAGTTGTCCAAGTGGAGAGCATTTCTAATGTACACCCACCTAGTATAATAAGTTGGCTGTAATAGAAACGGCTTCATTTTGTATAAGATTAAAAACAGATGTCAAAAATGTGGCCCGCTTCGCAGTATTCGCATAGTAATGCGCATCAGCAAAATGCTGGGAAGGCCAATGAACATCAGAATCAACAGAATTTGAAGACACTGGGGATGACGTCTGCTATATCTATGGCAGGTTAGTTAATGTTGTATGTTAAAGTTACTAAATATAAGAGAGTAGGATAAAAATTGGAAATTAAAGAATAAAAGAGAACTTATTTCATTTATTTTCTAAAAAAAATATCAAAATCTCTGAATCTCTTTTGTAAAAAAATATAGGGTGATTTTGTCATTGGTATTCATTTTTATCGTCAAAATTTAGGATTGCAAAATTTTTCTCCAAGGTATTATAGGTTAGGTTATTGAATTATTTTTTTGGGTTTTGTTTACGTCACATTGACTATCATTTGTCCCTTTCAATTGAAATACAAAAAATACCCTAATTATATCGAGATTGATCACAAACTTAGTTTCTGCACAACTTTTTGTTACGATTCCTTGGAATTAGCACAACTGCAAAAAAGTTGTCAATCAATCGATTGTCACTACAATGCTTAGAGTTTTTTTTTTAGATAAAGCACGATAATATTAATCATATCTATGTCGCAAGGACGATATAATTACGATAAATACCTAAATAACCTTTGTTAGTGTTCCATTAGTTAATAGTAATGGCGATGCTGCGATAGAGCACCCATAGGCATAATAAGTAATCACATAGATCATCAACAGTGTTTTTATTTAAATTATTATGAGTATGATTATGTTACTATTATTGTCACTAAATTCTTGCATCATTAATTACTAATTGGTGTATGCATGTCAATCACAGGATGGACAGAATTGCCATTTCCCAATTTATTTTATTCCTTTGTCGCGTCTCAAGTTGATTCTGAAGGACAGCTGTCGTCAGGCAGGCTAGGCAGGCTGTTCACATTTTTCTGATCTATACTAATATTATAATGGAGTGTCCCGGGAAAGGACGGTAAGTTTTTATCTCAGAAAACATCCTTAAAGAGGGTGAAAGGGAGGAGTGGGGAAGTTTGAGATTTAGATGAAAATACTTCGATTCTTGAGGAAAGATATAGGCTACTTTTTACCGCAACAATCGATATTTATAACACTAATACTACTACTACTACTACTATAAAACATCCCGCTACGACTAATAGGACCAATGACAAATGTTGCAAACTTTGGAGAGACGCAGGCGAAATTACGCTGGTCAGCTACTAATAAAATTGACAAAACGCCACGCAAATTATAAAAATGTTTTAATACATTTTTGTGTTTAATTTTTTTTTTAATATATTTTTATATACACAGGTCCAAAACCAATAGACATTGAAAAAACAACTGAGTTGAAAGATTCCCTTGTTCCGTATGGAGTGTTCGAATCGGAAGCAGAGATGCACCACCGTATGGAAGTGTTGGGGTCGCTGCATCGCCTTGTGAGACAGTGGATCCGTGAGGAGTCGCTCCGAAAGAACATGCCTCCAAGCGTCGCAGATACTGTTGGCGGCAATATATATACATTTGGTTCATACAGACTTGGGGTCAGTTATCTCGTAAATTTTTAGGCTCATTCTAGACTTAAACTAAGTATACCCAACTTGTACTGTAACTTATTCATGGAAACCTCCAGATCAAGATAAACACATGCAATCTCAACCCGACTGCTTGTTTGCCCTCCTATTTACAAAAAAGATCAATTAGATTTTTAGATATATAAAATATGGAACTGATCTACTTATTAGGTGATATATCTATTGTTGAGGTTATAGACATAAAATCAGTTTATAGAAAAAAAGTGATCAAACACTACATTCATATGATTATTCATAGTTAGATATCATTTTGATTAATTTCATAAGTAACATGTTTCATAGGTATAGATATTTTATATAGAGTATTTCAGATTAGCGACAATCTAAAATACCCTATTTATATCCCCATTGCATTTCAATCGTCCCATTTTTTTTTATAATTCAGCATGCAGTTAAAAGAATTATCCCTATTTTATAAAATTTACTCTTTGAAATGTTGAATATGCCCTTTTAAAAAAGTAATAAAAAAATATTTGTATTTGAAACTCAGGTGCATCACAGAGGTGCTGATATAGATGCCCTCTGTGTAGCTCCACGACACATTGACAGGACAGATTATTTTTCATCCTTTTATGACCTATTGAAGACTCAGCCTCAGGTATGTATGATACATTGTAACCCTTGATAACAAACACTATTTATTTATGATGGGTCCTTTAATTTTGTTTTAAGTGTGAAATCCCTTCAGGATTGTTATGGCCACGGGATGTGTGTCGGAGTTAAACATATATACATTATCCGTGTAGTGATGAATTAAGAATACGGAGTGTCACTTCCCCGATACATCCCGTGGGTGGCGTAAGAGTCGACTAAGGGAGCAAACTACCCAAGACTACAGCAAAGAGAACTAAAATTTTCCCTTGTCTGTTATGTGACCACAGCCTCTCAATCCAGGATAATGGCAGTTTTTTCCGCTGTGTTGAGACATCCTCTTCACAGAGGGCTGTCGCATCGGTGGATAATATAATGAGGGCTCCATCCTTGATTGACACCAGAAAAATATTATCTTATGGTTATAAAGTAATTAGCATTATCTATATTACATATTTATGTTGTTTATCTTCAGGTAAAAGATTTGAGAGCTGTAGAAGATGCGTTTGTCCCAGTTATAAAAATGAATTTTGACGGCATAGAAATTGATTTGCTTTTTGCCCGACTTGCTCTGAAAGAAATACCAGGTATAGTTTATTTTTACTACACATCATTTAATATATAAAAATCTATGTTTGGGATTACAAATAATATTTAACTACTTTTTTTTCTGAATATGTATGCTAAGTTGTTGTATGAGATATTTCATGTTCTATGTTATTATTTCCAGACTCATTTGATCTACGCGATGACATGTTGCTAAAAAATTTGGATCAAAAATGCGTGCGGTCTGTGAATGGGTGCCGAGTTACTGACGAAATTTTGCGTCTCGTGCCCAACATCAACAACTTCAGACTCACGCTTCGGGCGATCAAGCTTTGGGCAAAACGTAAGAATTATTCTCCTTAAAAATTATTATTTCATCTTTCTTAATTAATAATGCAACCGCTCGAGATCGTAATTTGGCTTTTCAATTGCATCTGAGTCTTGGTCTGGATGTTTCCGCTTCATCAGACTACTCTCTGTTGCAAGCTAGCAAGAAAATTAAAAGACCTACTACTGTCTCCCAAGCATTATGTGCTATGACGGGAGTTGGACTCGTATGTATGCTGAAAAAGCAAATACTTTCTCTGTCCACCTGCAATCCGTCTTCAAACCCCATTCAAATGAAGGTGCACCCGAACATAAAAGAGAGGTGTTTAACTACTTGGCGGAGGAAGACTCTCGCGCCCAGCTGGGTGATGACATGCCCAATTTCAATAAAACTGAAGTTGTACTGGCTATAAACAAGATTGATTCAAAGAAGGCCCCCGGTTTCGACCTCATCACTAGTCGGCTGCTGGCCGAACTGCCTTACTCTGAAATTACTCTGCTCACGTCCGTTTATAACAGCATGACAAGACTCAGATTTTTCCCTCCACAGTGGAAGGTAACCTTCAAGAAGATCCTAAATCCTAAAGGCTTATCAGTCTATTACCGATTCCTTCTACAGTTTACGAGTCGCTCCTATTAACTCGCATGTCACCAATATTAAAACAAAACATCTGGTTCCAGCCCATCAGTTTGGATTTCGTTATAAAGAGAATTATCTAACATGTCCACAGACTTACAGTCGAAATTCATAAAGCGTATGAAGCCAAAAAAAGCCTTCGACCGGGTCTGGCAAGCTTTACAAAATAAAAAAACCATGCCCCATCATATGTTTTGTATTATCAAAGCTTTCATAACCGATAGTTACTTTATGGTTCAGTGTGGCAATGGGATGACAAATCCTTTGAACAATTACAATTTCCTGTGGAACACCACAAGGAAGTGTAAAGGGGTCCAACCCTCTACCTGCTTTACACCACAGATTTACCCACCAGTGAATTTTGCTGACGATACAACCATTCTGACCATCCATAGTCAGCCAGAAATCTCAGCCAAACTACTACAAGAAGGTCTGGATAACATCAAAAACTTTGAAAAAGTGATGGATTAAAGCTAATGAAAGCAAGTCTGTCAATGTTACTTTCACCCTGTGAAGAGAGCACTGTCCACCAGTCAAACTGAACGACGTAGAAGTCCCTCAGGCAGACCACGTGCGGTATCTTGGACTTTACCTCGATAAACGTCTTACCTGGAACAAACACATTCTTACCCAGAGTAAACAGACACTTTCCGAAACATTTTTTGCCTCGCACAACCAATCTGTTTAACGACCTTCAAGAAAAGTGTGTAGTCCTTCCTAAAAGTCCGGCAACGCGTTTGTGACTCCTTGAGCTGCAGATGTTCATAGGCGGCGATGGTCACTTTCCATCAGGTAACCGGCTGCTCGTCTGCCCCCTAACATAAAAATTAAATTGGGGTACAGCCTCAGACTCCAACATAGAGATCATTCTACAATACAGTATCAGTCTAAAAAAAATACGTCGACTAAAGCTCAGAATCCCCAAGGTTGTGCTGTGATAAGAGCACATTAGGATAGAATAGGGTGCGGCACTGGTCTTGCACACCACCTATAAATGATGCCCAATCTATCGCTTAATGGCCTGATAAAGAGAAAGATTGCTGGAGTAAAAATTAACAAAAAAGAATTTTCTAAAATAAGAACTTAAGTGTTCGGAAATTAACAGTGATCGGAAATTAGCGGATTTAGCAACACAGATTGAGAATCTCCAGTTATCCAGATTCAATCCAATATGAATTACTAATTTCAATATCAGCATTCTATCCAGCATAAACATTGGAAAAGCGGATTTTAAATGGCTTAAATGAAATTTACTTCGACGATTAAAGTTAAGTAAATGAACGCTGATCTTAACTGCAGAACGATAATTTGATTAAAAATATAATAATATCTTCACACACGGCAGTCTGATTCCAAACCAGGCAGAGCTTTTGCTATAGTAACCATACAACCTTATATATTTCTAAATACAGGCATGTTATTGAAAAATTACACCTAGACACAGAACGAAAGATCGAACCCACTACCTGTGCCTAAGCAGTCGGGATTACTAATTACTTGATTAACAGGCCTCAACCGATTTTAATTTACTACAGTATTGATAAATGTAAGTGATTGAGGATGTGTTGGTCGGCAGGTCACGGCATCTACTCGAACACATTGGGCTACCTGGGCGGCGTGTCATGGGCGATGTTGGTGGCGCGCACGTGCCAGCTCTACCCAAACGCGCTGCCCGCAACCCTCGTACACAAATTCTTCCTCGTCTTCAGCCAATGGAAGTGGCCGCAGCCCGTCTTGCTCAAGCAGCCTGACTCCGTCAACCTTGGCTTCCCCGTTTGGGACCCTAGAGTAAGTGTAATTCTTTTTTATACTAAGTAGGGTATTGTTATATAGGCTTGATAACAGTTTCTTAATATAATATAATTTAGGCATGCAACTTAACATCCGAAATTAATTACTCTCAAAGATGGCGTCTGAAGAATAATATAACAGATATAACAAACTCTAGAACCAGATTAATCTACAGAAGGTCATTACTGAATGTCTTTTCGTCAAATTTTAAGAAAGTGAGAGAAAAAAAAAGCCGTTTCTCGGAATGACTTTAACAGCTAAACCTTGCGAATTGTGAATTTCTGAAATAGTTTTTGATCCCTGTTGTTAAATTAGATATTTTTTTAAAGTATGTGTAGATCTAATTTACTTGTCACTGACCGTAATACTCTATATTATCACTAAAATATATTATTATCATCACTAGGTGAATATATCGGACCGCTTTCACTTAATGCCAATCATCACCCCAGCTTATCCGCAACAGAACTCTACCTTTAATGTGTGCGCATCTACCCGGACAGTCATCATGGAGGAATTCAGACTTGGTTAGTGTGATGAATTAGAGAAATATTTTCTAACTAATTAAACCTGAAGAGTAAAGAAGAATTTCGCGCGTATATATAACATCAGGTTGTTTATGCCTGCATGTGCCTTATAAAGGATTTACTTTTATGTTTTACTAGTCGTTGCCATTGTGTCTGTGGTTATTACATCTCTTAAGGGTTTTCTCTCTCTAAAGTATGATTTTAAATGGCCTCAAAGCATTTTTAGTGCTTAATATGTTGAAAAAAAAACAAACTCGTAAAGTTTATTATTTATGTGTTGTTTATTTAGAATAGACAGAATAGAATAGATAATATTGATCTCAATGTTTTGTGATACAGGTCTCGCTATAACAGACGAAATAATGCTCGGCAAATGTAATTGGGAGCGTCTTTTCGAAGCACCGAACTTCTTCTCGCGGTACAAGCACTTCATCGTCCTGCTCGCCTCCTCTGCATCAACCGATGATCAACTCCAGTGGTGCGGTCTGATCGAGAGCAAAATACGACATCTCATTAGTAAGTGTTGACTTTACTAACTATATGCAGAACAAAATTGTGTAACCAATTCAACTACTGATTTGTAAGCTGTAAAAGTCTATGATTGATAAATTCTTTAGTATACTATCCCATAGTCTAAAAGATCCAATCGTGGAGCAATTACCTAAGTTCTAGAAGGTTTGTGATATGTCTCGAAAAATACGGACTGCCTAGACACCGTTCTGGAAAATTTCATTCTAGAATGTTTGAACTTTTGGATCTGGATCATTCGATTAGTTTCTCTGATTAAGTGTCAATTGATCGCCCTTCGGCTATATTGGAAATTATATAATTCTATTTTTGAAACTGGTTACCAACTTAGAAGGTTGGATCTTCTTTCGAAACTCCAGTAAACAGTTTCGAAAACAGAATTATTTTTCGTTATTGGAAACCAGGTTTCGATAAAAGAGAAATAATTCTATTTTGGAAACTGGTTTCGAATTATTAGTTTCCAATATGGCCAGCAAAAACTGCAAATGTTATAAAATGTATGTACATTATAACCTATGCATCTCAGTTGCATGTATAAATAGACTTTGCTGTTCAGTAAATACTTTGAATGTAATCAATATTTATAGAAATATGGACAAATTTGAAAGATGTAATGTTTGCTGAATGTATATTGTTTGTTACAGCAACCTTAGAAAGGAACTCATACATAACAATAGCACATGTAAATCCAGAATGCTACAATTCTGTGCCGCTCAACACAAACAATGGACAGCCTCTCGCCTTGCCACCCGGTGAGCTATTTTGATGTGAAACAACTAATACGGAGAGTCAGACCGGCTGTTCGCGTGACCTCGCGTCGCCACGCTAACAGCCGGTCCGTTTCCGGCCCGTCGCCACGCAATGTGACATTATATGTAACATGCAGTGTGACTAAATTTTTTATTATGCTATATTTATTGTTTCCTTTCATTAGCTATCCTTTTATATTCATTATTTCTACAAAACAACTTTGATGTTTCATATCTGCCAGACAGCTTGCGATCGCTGAATTTTTTTTATACCAGTCTGTAGTATCCAGTTAATAATCTTCTGTTTATTTTAATATAATATGTATTATTACTAGCTGACCCGGCAAACGTTGTATTGCAAAACAAAAAAAAATTAGTTATGGGTCACCCTTACCATTTAGGGGTATGAAAAATAGATGTTGGCCGATTCTCAGACCTACCTGATGTGCACACAAAATTTCATGAGAATCGGTCAAGCCGTTTCGGAGGAGTACGGGAACGAACATTGTGACACGAGAATTTTATATATAAGATATGCATAGCATTTGTTAACAATGTTGCAAAGCATATTCTTTAAATGGACGCCCTTTGGCAGTTTGTCTATCACATGTGAATTTTTTATTCAATTCCAAATAACATATCTTGTATTTTTTCTACAGGTGCTCCAATGCCAGCGGATCCTTCGCCAGAAATAAAAAAGAGTGAAAATGTGAGTGATAAAGGACTTTGTATTAACAAAACAAAGATAAACTATTAACACTAATTAATGTGTAGCTATGTATTGCTTATAAACAAAACCACTGATTACACAGTATCGCACATGATTTAGATAGCGTGATTTATTTTACAATGGAATTGGAAACGTAATTTATTTTGTAGGCCTAACCTATTGAACCTCGAGGAGTGCATTTCTATACAAAAACCTTACCATGCCACAAAAAAAAATGTAACTACACGAAAAATATTTAAAAAGAAATTACTTGTGACCTTAGTTCGTCTGCGGCTCTCCTCATTCTTCATTCAATTACACAGAGAAACTCCGAGAATTGCTCTCTCAATTGCTCTATGGGTGACTTGACATTGCCCGGAGAATTGACAAACTGAAGTCTCAGTCGCAACGGGCAACAGTTCGCAGAACAAGGTGGTCCGACGACCTGGTGAAGGTCGCGGGAAGACGTTGGATGCGGATACCGCAGGACCGGTTGTTGTGGAGAGCCTTGGGGAAGCCTGTGTCCAGCAGTGGACGTCTCGGCTGATATGATGATGATGATGAATTACTTGTTAAAAGTAAAAATTTATAGATAATGATATCGTTTTGAGTGTCGGCCAGCAGCAAACAATGTTTTTTTCTTATATAATACCTTACGTTTCAGGGCGAGATTTTAGCCAACTACTGCTCTATGTGGTTCATAGGCCTCGTGTTTGAGAAGACAAACCTGAACGTAGACTTGACTAACGACATTGTCTCTTTTACGAAAGCAGTAAACTATCAGGCGGAAAACACTAACATGCTTCGCGAGGGGATGACTATTGAGGTAATGGTATTTTGGTTAAATGGTGGTGGTGGTCCATACTTTATGGGCGAACAAGCATGGTATGTGTATCCAGAGGATCTAGTATGAGTTTACTTCACATCAATTCGATCGTCACGGTGACTGCGTGCGGTGTTGTGATTGGCCCGCAATGAACTCTTCACCAATAGCTAGCTAAAATAATTCTACGTAGTGATTTAAGCAGTCACCTTTTCGTTTCTTACTGCGCCAGTGTGTGGCTTCGATCCCCACAGGGGACAACACTTTGTATGATACACAAATTGTTGTTTTGAACCTGATTCTTAGTACGGGAGTTGTCTTTTTTATTTAAAAAGTATTGAAACAATGAAGCGTTAAGGTTTGTTGATAATACAGGTTTAATAAAAAATCTTTCACTTTTATTTTGCTTCTTCAATTTGATTCGTGATATGGGTCATCTCGATTTGTATGATATCACGACTTAGCAGAAAACCGCCATTATTTTTACCGAACGAGTGATGTTAATGGAAGTTCTAACCTCCTAATGGAGGGACCCTCTAATTGTGGGGTATGGAGCTTAAAGGGCGGTGGATTCTATGTCATTAGTTCATTACACAGACTAACAATGATTGTATTTATGATCTTTTAATTACAGTACTCTTACATATATTTCTTCTGATATTATGTATGGAAAATCACAACATCAAGATGCCTCCCATCAATGAGAATGCAGTCCTCATAGCGAAGGAGCAAATGTAATAGTTTAAATAAGTAGAACGATTTGATGTACCTACTTTAGTTGTCTTTGCATCAAAGTCATAAAGACTCATTTCCTGAAAATAACAATATTTTACATATATATTTAAATATATTTTACATATATATTTAAATATATTTTACATATATATTTAAATATATTTTACATACAATATTTTTCTAACGAGGGAGAACCGTCGTTTAGATAAACGCCTAGATCTCGAATTTATTGAATATGACTGTCTAACGATTCGAAACGTCGGTAAACAAAGTCGAATCACTTCAATGGATTTCGGAACCCGTCTGCCGTAAAGCGATGACCGTTTGAGTTTCGTCTGACAAAGAGTATGTCAGAAATAGGTATGCGTAGTAAATATGTGGAATGATGAGTGAGCGTGTGTGGCAGGCGCGGCACGTGCGGCGCAAGCAGCTGCACCAGTACCTGTCGGGCTCGCTGCTGCTGCGCACGCGCACCACCTCCGGCGCGCGCCGCCGCGCACACGACCCCGCGCCCCCGCCCGCCCCCAACAAGAAGCCCAAGCGCCTCTCCGAGAGCAGCGTGAGTATGCCGCTAGGCCACGGCCGAGCGTGAGTGCTTTTGGTACTTAGCTCGTACTTACAATATTAACGAGTCACCTCGGATATTTAATTAGATACTCCTCTAGAATCTCATCTCCGACCGTCTATTGTTGCTCTGTGTGTGTCTCGACGGTAGCGCTGATAGAACACTATTTTAACCGGTTACGAATCGGCTATCATAAGCTTACCTCGACTCACTCGATTCGTTTAATTTTGTAGACCGACGAAGTGAGCGTGCTGTCGTACAACGACGACTCGAACTCGTCGAACGTGTACGAGGTGGTCGCGCAGGCGGGTCGCGCGGGCGAGCCCCCGGCGCCCCACGCGGACCACAACGGCGCCTCCTCCTCCAGCACCATCGCGTGCACGTAGCACTACGAGGAGTGGCGCGCGCGCTTCATATACGGATCCGCCAGCACCACTAAGCGACTGTGACTGTGTGTTTAGTGTAATGTGTTGACGCGAGTGTGCAGCGCCCTCACCGCGCCACGTGGCCGACACGTGAGCGCCGCGCGACTCCGCGGTGAGTATAACGTGTTCTCTACACGCACCACTCCACCCATAGTGCATTGATATACATCGAGAACGACATACCCACTTCATACATGAAAAGTGTCCGTGGCAAACAAAAAACCCTCCTTTACTTTATAGGTGAGTCGGTTAACGTTTTACGATGGAGGACGGACAGTTTTCTTTTCTCTTATTTCATGGGTATTCTTTTCTTAATGTGTAAGAATGTGTATGACGAACGTTTTGTATTCTAGATGTGGTACGCGCCGTGTGCTGCAAGTAAGTTAACAGATATCATTAGTGTTAGTGTACCGTGCGCCAGTGTGAGTGAGCGCGTTTGCTGTTTTCGACAAAATTGACGTTATGCCTCCCCCCCCTTTCTAGTGAAACACGTCGGGTTGTCTGAACGGTAGTGTAGGGTGACTACGAGATATGCTTGTCTCGTAACATCAATAGGTTTCATATCTTTTTCAAAGAAAAATAAATAGTCCTGGCTGGTCCTGGACGGTCATAAATATGACTGAAATGCTATTGGCCCTTCAAGATAAATTTTAATCTGCTGTGTATTGCAACTCTGCCATATATGCACCATACTAAAATTACAACAATTATTTTTTTAGCTGCACAAGGCAATAGAACCAATCTATCCAAATTTTAGCGCTACGTGCAGTCGGGTAGTTGTAAAATTAGATAACATTTATTTTAGCAATTTATGTAAAAAATTATAAAGTTTTTTTTTAAATCACGAGTGAATTGAAAATTGTGTGCAGCCTTACTCCGTCAAGTTCTCAAGTTGTTGTAAATATGTACAACTGAATAATTTGATCACATTTACATTTCAAGATCACGTGCCCTTTGCAATGAACACAGGTACATAATATAAAGTGCGAGTACGTTTGTGGCGAGTACTTAAGCCGTTCAGACGCCTGACGTTAACCACACGTTCCGTCTTGCTCATAGTACAAAGTGGAACATAAGACACGTTTATTGTCTCATATGCTTGTTTGTATCTCGATAACACATCCACCTATTGTGCGGTAATGCAATTCCTTTATTAGACGCGGAAGGCGGGAAACAGCATTGTCCTAGGTACAGTTTGCTATACGATTCTTGAAAATTTAAAATTGCTAATAATGTTGAAGTACAGAGAGGCGTCCTTGGAGTAAACAATGCTATTAAACCCATTGATTTAAATAAATAAAAAGCTTTTTATTCTTATTGCTGCCCATTAGGTATTATTGTCCCGTACATCAGATATTTTTCTGATTTTTGTACTCTGCATTTACGATAAATGATGATTGTTATTTGATTCTCTGATTACGACAGATTGTGGTGATTACATCAAGGTAGAACTGATTTTTGTAGTCTTACTTTCATTGCAACAAATCTATGGTTTTCCTTTTAACTGAACTAAGACATAAACAAAAGACAGGAAAAGATCGCGAACCTACAGGTATCAGACTACTATAGAACGCATATTACAAATGCACTTTTTGTACATTTTATTCTTTATTACTCTCCAATATTCGACAAACAAAATCAACAACATAATGAAAAATCTATGTTAGACAGTTTAAATCATACAATCCCAACCATCTCACACACCCTCAGCAGTATATACCTTGTACTATGGGTGACATCTGTTTTTTGTAAACATGCATATTATACATAGAAATACCCAGACCAAATAAAACATTAAATGTTCATGCACACAAATTGTTGACTACGCCACCCGGCCGTTAAATTTGGATATGCTGTCGAGAGCTACATATAAGCGTATGTGATGAGAACTACATAAAAATCCGAACAATGGCGAATGTATACCGAGTGTCCGGGAAATATTTATGAAGAATTCAAATTTTAGTGTTACCAGCGTAGTTGAACGTAGTTTTAGTAGAAAAAAAATGCGATTTTACATGTTTTTGTTTGTCTAAGTTTTTCACTTTTCGTAAGATGAGTTTACTTTAGAGGCGAATACCATACTTTCCTTTCCAATTTACGCGTTTTTTATATGAAGCCATTCGCAAAGCTTTCTTATTGGCTCGGATGTGCCAGCCTCGAGATAGCTTAGTAATAGATCAGATGATAAGTGTTCAAATCTTAACTGAAAAGTTAAAACAAAAAGAAATATTGCTTATTTGTCACTACGTGGAAATCAACTGTTATCATTATCTATTCCCTGAGAGCTTGGTCAATGACTAACCACGAGTTCTAAACGAATACGCATAGGCTTTCTTTTTTATTTGGCAACGCCGGTCCCCTTATAAACTAAATATAACGTTTCTCCTTGTTCTCATAATCTCTACGTTCCTTTTGCTACTTGCGACATTGTAAAATCGTACTTTTTTGTGGAGTTCTTTTAAAACCTCTTTAAGACTTAACACCGCATGCATGCGTTTTCAAAAGTATGCTCTTGACACCGGTATACGATTCTGTGTGCTCTTTTGACATTTATTTGGACACAAACAACGGTAGATTGGTTTTGCGTGTGAAATTAATATTTTCAACTAGTTGATAAACGAAATGATTCCACCTAGTTATAAGACTCAATGTAGTTGTTCATAAGGAAGTTTCAGGTTATATTTAACTTGTATATATTCAATTGATAATTATATATAAACTATATATCTGCCGCCAATAGCGATTCATTAAAAAAATAAATAAATGTATATAGAAAAAGTGTGTTTTTTATTTGAGTAATTATTAACCTTTCCTCTAAATCCTTAGATATCCATCCAACACTTATTGCAGACTTGTTGGAAGTCGGTAGTAGTGTTGCCACTTATTTGGTACATTTTCTTTTATAAATTGCCATTATATTTGCAATTTATAATTTTAAAAATAATGGTATTTTGTAATAATTTTGCAGCCCATGATTCCTTTCCGTATGTTCTAAGATTAAGAGAAAGACACTGTAGGTTTTCTTATGAAAAAAAACCTCTAAAAGAATATTGAAAAAGTAATTTGCACAAATTTCAACATTTACAAATTTGGTTGGCAAACAGAAAATCAAAGAAGAGAAACAGTAAAGACGAAATTTGTCATTGTCAACAAAATTAGGGTTCAACTTGAGCTTTTCTTGCATACTTAGGTTGCGACTTGTCGATTTTCCAATGAAGGCAAAGTAAAGCCTTATTATTTTTGTTAAACATTCGAGAATCCAAGAAGCATTCGCGTCATTGACTGATACAAATGACATTTTTGATGAAAGCATAATTACAGTAGTCCAAGAGTTACATTACTACTTGATTTAAATACTGGAAGATTTACTTGATTCAACAAGGCATGCTACCAAAAAGAAAAAGAGGATCTATTGATACGAGGGCGAGTCAATAAGTCCGTGACTTTTGGAATAAAACACAGATTTTTTGATAAATAAATCATTTTATTTTTCAACGTAGGAGACTACGTTGAAAAATAAGAGAGAGAGATCGATTGAGATCTATACACTTAGTCCAACGCTTCTCCAATTTTCTTATCCCTTCCAAAAAATATGATTTGTCGAGGTCTTCAAAATAGGCCTTTGTTTGCGAGATGACTTCATCATTGGAGTCAAATCTTTTTCCACCAAGCCATTTCTTCAGGTTTGGGAACAAGAAGTAGGAACTCGGAGCCAAATCTGGAGAATAGGGCGGATGAGGGAGCAATTCATAGCCCAATTCATGGATTTTTGCCATGGCAACTGCACTGCATGTGTGCACCCTTGCATTGTCTTGGTGGAAAAGAACTTTTTTCTTGGCCAAATGAGGTCGGTTTTTTTCAAATCGTCATTGAATCGGTCCAATAAGTTGGCATAATATTCCCCTTTGATTGTTCTTCCCTTTTGAAGGTAGTCAATGTGGCTTATCCCGCGTGCATCCCAAAAGACAGTCGCCATAACTTTATTGGCTGACAAACCCACCATGGCCTTCTTTGGGCCGATTCACCCTTAGAAACCCACTGTTTTGACTGTTGTTTGGTCTCTGGTGAGTTGTGATGGATCCATGTTTGTCCATGTCCATGTTGATCCATGTTTCATTATTTAGGTCAGCTTACCATCTCTGAGACACGTGTATAATAAGAGATAGTTCACAGGGGTATTTTTTGTAATAGCCTTGAAATACTAAAAAACAATGTTAATTTTGACGTAAAGTTGATCTATTAGCATTCATTTTAATATGATACAGTAATTATTAAAATTATTTGAGTTATTTATCTGATTGCTAATACTTTTCCGTTATGGGAACTTTTTGTTTTACGATAATCGGACATTGAACTCCAAAGTTACATAACTTTTAGTATGGACGCTACGAAAAGTCAACCAAAATACAAAAATGGCTGCCATTCAGAGGCCGTTGGGTTTAGACCCCACCTGTAGAATGATTTTAGTGATAAAATAGAGCAAACTATCACCCCCTAAAGTTTGTACAGTTCGAACCCAGACACATTGTATATGTATAGCAACTGCGACCTCCGTACTTGTTTTTAGTTTGAGTTGGGAGTCGTAATGCTGTCTATTAAGTCTCTTTTAAGATTTCGTAACTATATTTACGTCAGAGACAAAAATTACGTTTTTGAACTGTTTGGGGTCGAAACGCTAGGGTCCGAGTGCTCGTACTATGTATAAACAACTAGCTAAGCAACTGATCGACACTTCTCGTGATCAGAAGGCTGGCATTTTTCTATCACAGAAAATTAGCAGTACCATTCAACGTGACAATGCTTCCATGCTTCTGGAAACGCTACCAGTAGGCGATGATGCTGAGGAATTTTTTGGTGCATGTATGTAAATAGTGTAAATGTAAATATTTAAATTGCCTAATAATATATTTCTTTTTTACTGTAAGCTTATATAGTGTAGAGGACTCATTTAATGTACATATTCTAGAAATTAATTACAACTATGTGATAAGAAATAATATTCAATCAAAATAGAATTGAAGAATGTGGAGTGTCTGGTTTTTATAGCATTGATACAGGTCTTGAAGTATTACTGAATGAATCATATGTAACATCAATTATTGAGCTATTCCAGGAAGGATTTTAACAAGACAATATAAATAGACATTTTGTTCAGAAAATTTGCTGTTTATTTTTATACTTCACCTTATTAATAATTCTTATAATACTTTAGCCTATATAAATAGGCACACCCTTTGTTGTTCCCCAAAGCCATGTAACCACTGTTTGCTGAGAAACTTATTGAACTTATTTGATTTAGATTAACAGATTGGCTCGGGAAATTGGAAAATACATGATATGATGGTATATGGACAAGTTTAGCAGCGTTTGGATAGAAGGATGATGATACAGCAAGTATCTCTGTTGTGTTGTTAAACCTGAGGCTTGTTATTTTGGTGGTTAAATTCGAAATGACTTTGTATGGTACTGGTTCTGACTTGGTCAAATTTTCTGTTTCATATATATTCACAATACCTTCACCGCTTCCTGTAGCTAATAATTTTCCGCATGGGCTAACTGTTAGACATGATGCTGAAACACAACCATGGTCATAGAACTTTTTTAGAGCCTTGTACATCAGTAAATCCCATACAGTAATTTGTCCTTCAAAATTACAACAATACAATTGCCCGCAATCATTACTAAATGTTACTGATACAATATTTGAATTGTGTTTTAAAGATGTTAGTAATTCTTTCGATGCAGAACAAATCAAAAACACTTCTTCAAAACCATCTGATGTCACAATGTATTTACCATCGGGTGATATTTGGAAGATAACAGGTTTTTTTACCACTCTCGGCAATTGGATTAACTTTGGTTCTGCCTTCACTAGGTTGTATACACAATAAGAGTGACTGTTTTTAGATGCAATGAGAGCCTCAGACCCATCGGGAGTAAATTGAGCAGCACTTATTTTCCAATTATGTAAATGGAAACTGTGTATTTTAGTGTTCACTTCACCACCTATAGAAAATAATGATAAGCTACCTGAGTTGCCAGCGACAAGAGCAGCGCTGATTTTAGGATGGAACTCAACACAATTTATTATAGAGCCTTCATTTTTGGTAGATTCATTTATGAGTGGGAGTTTTTTAATTTCTATAAAATCTTTAGGCAGTCGTTCAGGCTTCTTTTCATGTAAATGACCAACAGTTCTCAGTATTTCATCCTGCTCATCATCTATTTCAGTTATTTTATTTAATTTTGCCCAAGTTGGTGTACCCAATAAAGTCTCATATTTTTGTTTAAGCTTTTCTGTATATAAAGCTTTACTGTTTACGTTTGGAATAATATTAGCTTGAAAGTTTGCGTCAATCCAAGCTGGTTTCAGATCCGTAGGGATTAATTCGTCTTTGGAATATGTGTTTAATTTTTCGACAAAATTTTTGGATTTATTAAACAACAGGTGAGAGATCCTGCAAGTAAAACACATGTTTTATTCATAATTAAGGTAAAAAGACAGAACAATTTCATTTATCCCAAATGATATAAACACCACTAATAAGTTGTTACTTACTTGGTTTCTTCATCTCGTGTATCACTTGACTTTCGCTTCATTTTTATTATTTCAATAATGTGTAAGAACTTTTGAAATTGGGTTAAATTAAAAAAATCATCAATGAAATAACCAAACAAGAACACCTAGCACGATATTGACTGATGGCGTCCATATGGCATGGCAATATAGTGACAGTTGTCATCTGTGTTGCCAACAGTTTCAAATTCAACATCAAAAACCATTAGAGAACGACTCAACAAAAAACAGCCGTCTTACTCTAATAATTAATCGTTAAATTTACCACTAAATATTTTCTAAAAAGAAAACAAAATATATGTTAATAATTACTTTCTTTCATTATTATGTAATACTCGCATTCCAAAATCCAACATACAAATAGTAAATCAACAAGTCAAGAAAAAAAAAAGTCAGAAAATTAAAAAAATATTCAAAAACAACAGTAATGTATTTCAAATTCTCTCGTTTTCATTACTGATTCTTTGGTATTGATTTGTTTTACAACGTTTATTGGAATTTCAAATTCGTTACAGCATTTTCCTTTCAACCTCAAACCACAGAGTATTTCTAACATAACAGATATAAACATAAATTTTATAACTTCGTTCGATTCCTCTATTTGTTTTATATTAATTTCGAACTGCTAAATAGTCTCTCAACATCGGCATTGGAAAATTCCTCAAATCTAGAATTCCCTGAAAGATCTTTGGAGTGCAATACTTCCAGTATGTGAAAGTTTCTTAACACAATAACGGACCGAGTTTCGAATGACCATTGGTTTAAATGATATCAATCTTCATTTCTCTTCTGCTATTCGACTGGATCATTAAACCTGTCGCACTCTGAGACAATGAAAACAACTGTGATGATTAAGGAACTGTCCGTGTGGTGACGGATTAAGAATACGGATTGTAACCACCCCTATTCATCCCGTGGGTGTCGTAAGAGCCGACTAAGGGAGCAAACTACGCAGGACGACAGCACTGCTAAGAGAAGGAAAACTTGAAAGAAACCCTATACCAACCCGTTTGGCCAACGTGGTATAGTAGGCCAAAACCTCCTTTTTAAGGAGAGGCCTATGTCCAGCAGTGGACTGTTATAGGCTGTTGGTGGTGGTGGTGGTGGTGGTGGATTAAGGATGTCACGGTTAGAGCTTGTGGATACTACGACACTTTTAGGAATAACACTAGATTCTAAGCTATAGTGGGGCTCACATATTGATAAATTATCGAGTCGACTCAGCTCAACAGCATTCGCAGTAAGAAAAATCTTAAAATTGACTGATATTGATACGTCACGACTTGTTTACTTCAGTTATTTTCATAGCATAATGTCGTACGGTATTGTGGGGTAATGCTGCCGACATTCACTCTATTTTTATGTTGTAAAAGAGAGTGATTCGATTAGGTCTTGTGAGAAAACTCCGGTTCCAGTTCGTGACCCAGTCTCTTAGATAGGCAGCCAGATGGGCATAATAGGTGAGTAGATTGGTTTCGTTTTTATTAGTTATCTTCACTTCACTTAATTTTTGCACATCCGCCGTTCCAAACAGTTTTAAGAAAACAGATGAAATAAAAAAAAGTGAAGTGAAACATATAAATGGAAAAATTTATTAAAAAGCACCCCAGCCCTCATTACATTTCCACTACGAAATAAAATAGTAATAGTAATAGCTAGCAACACTTAAAGCAGTCTTTCGGGAACCACTATCAGGTACTGTGATTATATGGCACTAGTCTCAGAGCGCATTGATTTTCTGAAACAGAAGGTTTATGCATGGGCAAACCGTATATGAAGGTATAAAAAAAGAGTGGACCGATATATTCAGAATCGCACATTCTAAAGAGATGAGAGGTGGGTTTATAGAAGATGGGAGCAGCCTGATTTAGTGAGTGCTGGACATTTCCCAGATGTTAAAATAACTAATAAATTTTGGCGTAACATATGGTTGATGCCTACCACTCACACAGGGGGTAAATGGATGCGAGATGTCGAACGATCGTTTGAGTCAATTAATACAATAGAGCCAGTTTCAATTTCAGACATTGATATAGCTTATGCAGTTCGTTCGCTACCGAATTGGAAGTCAGTGGGAGCTAACGGACTGCATAATTTTTTCAATTTTATTCGTGCACGACTACATTTCTCTGTTATTTATATAGTATTCTTTTGTTCCATTTTTGTTTGTCGTTTGCCAGGTGGCAAAGGTCGCCTCCAATCTTCTCCATTCTAGCCTTTTTGTGGCCGCTACCCATGTTGTTCCCGCGACTTGTCTAAAGTCGTCTTCCCACCTTCTTTGTGGTCTACCTCTCTTCCTTTTTCCACCCCTTGGGTACCATTGTGTGATTATTTTACTCCATTTATCCTTTCCTCTGATCATATAGCCTGCCCATTTGCACTTTTGTCTCCCTATTTTCAAAGTTGGACCTTGGACCTTAGTCTTGCTTCTGATGCTGCTTTCTGATGCTTTGCTCCTTACTTTGTCTTTTCTTTAGATCCCTGTCACAGTGCTTTCCATGGCATATGGAGAGTTTGTTTGCTACGTTTTTTATTAAAGTCAATGTTTCGCTCTCATAAGCCAATATAGGCAGGATGCATGTATTAAATATTTTGCTTTTCGTTGAGATGTGTTTGTCATTGTTTCTTTTAGGTCCAAGATTTTTTTTCAGCTGTTAACAATTCTTCTTTCACCTTCTTTGTTTTCGTTGTCTTCTGGAGACATCAGTTAAACATTGTATGTGTATTCGTCAACATACGAGACTAGAGTCTGTTCCACTGTTACAGCATCCTTGTTGCCATTGGTCATGATTGTTTTTTTCTCCGGGTTCAAGTTCAATCCAGCCTTTGCACTTTCTGATGCGAGATCATTTTCCATCTTGCCTAGATCATCTGGTGTTTTTGCTAATAATACAATTTCATCAGTGAATCGTAGGTGCGTTAGCATGCGGCCATTAATATTTATGCCCATATCTCCCCATTCCAGATTCCTGAAGACCATTTCTAGTAAGGCCAGAAAAAGTGTTGGTGAAAGGGAGTCACCCTGTCTCACGCCTTCTTGTATTTGAAACATATTTCCTTCCTTTTCTAGTCGGATACAGGCCGAACTGTGTCTATAAATATTTTTTTAATAATTCTTATCTATTTGTGTTCTATACCCAATTCATTTAAGGCTTCCCAGATTTTTGAGTGTATCAGAAAATCGAAAGCTTTACTGTAATCAATGTAAGCTGGTATTCAGCGTATTTTTCTATAATTTGTCTTACAGTATGGATTTGGTCCAAATACCGAGAAGTCCTTGCGAAATCCTGCCTGTTCTATTGGTTGTTGTTCGTCTAGTTTCCTTCCTATTCTTTTGAAAGTAATCTTTGCAAATATAAAATAAAATATTAGACATTTCCAATATCGCAGTGATTTCCCTTCTTGAATAAAAGGATTTGATTCAGTCCATTGTTTTGTGGTGATTTCTGTGTAAAAATTCTGATTTTAAATTTTATTTTAATTATTTTTTTTTTTATTTTTTTTACTTTTATTATTTTTTTTTTTTTTTTTTTTTTTTTAATTTTGTGGTGATTTCTGTATTTTTTTTTATTTCATATTGTTAAAAAAAATCAGCTGCTTTCGTTTGCTTAAGTATTTCATTGCTTATAACACGAAATAGCCTGTGCCAAATAAATTCCATGCACTCTTGTTTTCTATGTAACCCACAATTGAGTAATAGGCTTTCTGCCATAGTTTTTTTTGTGGATTTAAATTTGTTTAAGCTTAAGTCTTATAAACTATTTTGGATTTTATTATAAAATCGGACATTGACATCGAAACGACATGTTTTTCTTTTAAAGCCTAGAGGCAGGTACAACAAGTATATTTCTATTTCTGGTATTTAAAGCATGTACATCACTACACACACACACATTACAAGATTTTTTTAATGGACAATTGACATGCTACTGTAATTTCTTTTTCATGATAGAGGGGGCAGACGAATGGACGGGTCACCTGATGGAAAGTGACCATCACCGCCCATGAACGTTTGCAACTCAGGAGTCACAAACGCGATGCCGGCCCTTTAGGAAAGAGTGCGCTCTTTTCTTGAAAGTTTGAAGGTCGTATCGGTCCGGAAATACCGCAGACGATAACACGTACTACAGATTGGTTATTATATATCATATCATATATATATATATATATATATATATATATATATTATTGTTTCTTTAAATTTCAGCCTCAATGAACAAATTATAAATTGCTCGAATCACTCTCTTTTGCAACACAAAAATAGTTGGAATGTCGGCAGCATTCCTCCACAGTAGAATGCCGTACGACATTATGCTATGAAAATAACAGTAAATTCTAAGATTTTTTCAAACAAGTTGAGGAATCGAACGGAGTTAAATAACTTATGTTTATATCTGCTATATCTTAAAAATACTCTGTGGTTTGAGGTCAGTAGGAAAATTCTGCAACGAATTTGCAATTCCAATAAACGTTGTAAAACAAATCAGTACCAAAGAATCGTATCAATCTGAAACCGACGATGATGGTGCAAACAAAAACTATTCATCTGAAGAAAACGAAATAATTTAAAATACAAAACTGTTGTTAGATAGATAAATACTTTATTTGTACATCTGGGTTTTACAGACAAAGTAATTAACAACAGATGTAATGTACAAAGGCCGGCCTTATCGCTTAGTGCAATTTCTTCCAGGCAACCTTAGGATGGACTGGATCACTGCATTCATTTTGAACTGGTGATAGGTATACGGAGAAATAAATAAGCTCTTATCTTAACCTATGAAATATTTATTATACATAAATCCTACTAATCTATATTTATACATAAATAATAATAATAATAATATGCCCCCTAAAAATCCAACCACACGTCCTGATCGACCATCTGATCACGTGGGGGGGCGGACACACGAAAGATAAATTACTAGCGTGGCTAACGTGGCACTGGTAGATCCCTACGATTAGAGTAGGCAGGCATTAGAGCGACAAAATAGACGGTTAATTAAATGGGTAGATAGGTGGA